ATTACCATTCCGTTCGATACAAAGTGCGACTATCTGGCTACAGGAATGCGAGTTGTATAAAAACAGGCAGCATTTGCCAGAAACAATTATCACTGTAATTATAATTAAAAATGCATATCTATCGTATACTCTCGTCGCGTCAACGAAATATTTGATATGCCATTGTCTTATTTAATATTTATGCAGGATTATGTATGTATGTAGCGATACAATCGATAATTTTCACAAGGGAATTTAATGTCGAGTGGTGTTTAATATTTTCGAACCATTTCCAACGATTCGTATGGTGGAACAAAGGTAAAATTTTTATCGTTGATTTCGCGCGAGAAGGGCCGTCCGTTGCCATCGCGCGAGTTTCCACCGCTAATCTGTGGCATTAACTTAGTGTCCAATTGGAAACCGCTATAATCCAGTTTGCATCACCGAATTTAATTCCCTTAACGAGGTCTTGCCAGTTGAGCGTTTCGATGCTTTGGCCGGAGAGCCATATCTATTAATTATTATTCTTGCGGTTAAACTGAGTTTCCGCGGGCGGGCCGCTTATAGCAAGCCACCTCTATTCCATTTATCTCTGTTATATTACATACATTTCGGAAAGAAAACTCAGTTGGTTACGAGTGAGTCGCGTTTACGTACTTTTGGTAGTCGAAGTCGGTAACATTAACGCTGCATATATCTTGACGAGTATTGCTTTAAACATGTTTACGCGTATGCCAGTTAAATTGATATATGTTCTTTTGCTAAATGTACATGGCGCTAATACTCATTTCGCTAATTACGCCGTAACAAGCGAAAATGGAGTCTGCGTATACCAGCAAAGATACGACAAAACCAATCAATAGGGAAACAATTAATTAGAGATTGTTGATTACTTGCTTGTAATTTTACCGACTATTAGCTTATTTATAATTAATGCTAATTGGAAAGCTTGTCGCACGTTTTTCCGAACGTTGCAACAATTTAATCAACGGTATCGCGAATTAACAAATAAAAATATGTTATGTGACTTTTAGTTTTATATGTACAAACAGCATGTGCATGAACTTGTGGGTTATTGATACGTTGTCGTGTTTCTCTTCTTGAAATAGTTTGCGAAAAGCAACAATTAATTTTGCTGATAGATGTGGTTAGAGATTATATCAATCCAATAGACTGTAGCAATTTGCGATGGACTTGGAATTTTTCCGTCCAGATATTTTATTGAATTTGTTTGAATATTTCTCGAAACTCTATTATTATTATAATTAAACCATTTAACTACACACATATATAAGTATACATATATTTCTTTTGGTATAATATTTAATAAAGCAATAACACATTAAATATTTTATTGTTATGTAAAACAATACGCGCTAGATAAATTTTTAATAGCAATTACAGCAATAATTTATTTTCGAAAACTCTGCTTTATTTTATTGAATTTAGACTATTTTTTTCTACGTCGATTCTCTTCTTATTTTATCTTTTTCTCTCATTCTCTCTCTGCCTCTCTCACTTTATTACAACTAGCTGTACTAAAAAGAATTAAAAATAACTTGTATACATTTGGTGAAGCACATGTTTTACAGCCATGTATAATTACATCAAATGGCAGCTATAAGCAGCTCGCAAGATTAATGTATACTCATTAATTTTGTTTTACGATTATTTTACACTGTATTAACCGTCGCTGTATCAACTAAGCAGTACGTCTAAAACGTGTGTCTTTTATGAGCGTTCTTTCGTCGTATTTTCCACAGTAAATCTTGACTTCTTGTGTAGACTGCTATAGCGTCAGATTTCTTCGGGAAGTGCTCTCGGGGAAAAACGATGTTCGAGATGAAACGATAATAATCGAAGGCGTTTCGCGAGAGGACCATTACCTTTGGCCGTAAAGACGTTATTCAATTGCGGAGAAGGATCCGCTCACCTATCTATCAACAATTAAATGGAACATTTTTCACGCGGACGTACTCTCGCTTCACCGAAGCTGGATCAGCTGGGATACCACTTGCCTGGCGCCAGCATCACTCGGGGTAAATATTTGACGAGTAACTCTAGTATCACGGTTATACCGGTCCTGATGAGCGAAACGCATCGCCGCCGGCCTCGGCCTCGTTCCTCCTCAAACGCACGTTCATGTGTTAGGTACTTTGTGAAATTAAAAGGCTTCAGATGGCCGATGTAATTTTCAAGGGGAAAAAATGATTAAGATGATCTACACTGTGTGTGTGCTGCAAATTTATCCAATGTGTTTTACCGATGATTCGATCAACTCAAATTTTTTTCGCGCAAAAACAGGAGATAGAAACAATTTCATTTCATTTTATATCTGCGATCAAATCGTTTATTTAATTTTCTCCTCTCGTCGTTTCAACGTGTGCTATTGGAATTAGCGAGAAATATGACCCGTTAAGAAATTGCCTTAGTGATACAATTTAAAGGGGTTTTAAATGTCGCGTTTTTACGAAACATTTTATAGAAAACTGTAGGTAGTATCTCTGACGGCAAGACACCTCTATTTAATTAGCGCGGAGCTTCGCACCGCCGGTATTGTCTGCTGTAGCAGAATTCTGGAGAACTTCAAAGTGCTGAGCAAAATTGTTGTAGGCTAACTGCGAGGAAAAAACGGCGTGCTCTCGCGGGCGTGGATAAGTGTCTGAGCATTAAACATTCAAAGTGTGTTTCAATTTGTTCCGTGAAAGCGTGGGGGACTTTGAAGCGTACAGGGGTTGCGTACTTTACTAGAATATGTTGCATCGTACTGATTGGAGGGATCAAAGCCTGTACAAACGGTCGGTATTTAATCATCCGACCACGGAAGAACGTATTCATCAACGGTTGAAGCTTCCGTCGAAGCTTATTTGCTACGTTTTACCTGTAACGCTTCCCGCAAATTCTAACCCGTTTTCAGTAGAGCCGATAGCTCTAAATAAATTTTAATATATATTCTGCTCTTCTTACGCTGTTTTTCTCGCTGTCAATCGCATCGGGCACATCACCCTGCGGGATTAACTAAAAATTCGCAGTGAAGGGTCGGATGATACCGTTCCGTTCGCTCTTTCGCCGTAAGCTTCTTTATTCTCGCTTTTGGTTGCTCGCGCTTCGCTATCACGATCAACCGGAAGGGTATCGACAATGAATTTTACGCACGAGGAAATCGCTCGTCCAAGCCGGCAGATTCGGTACTTGTGCACGGATGGAAATGAATTCGATTGGAGCGAGCCATCTTTTTTTGCTCTCACCTTTCGTCTCTCTACCCGCGGCTTCCTTTTTTTTTACGAGGCGTAAAATACCGTCCACCGATCGCTGGTTGGCGCTAGTCGTAAATTGGTTACCGACCAATTGCCTGCTTGGTAGCATGCTTGGAGAATCGAAGCTTTTCGATGCGGCCTGTGGATTCCAGCGGACACGTAAACGTTATCTCATTGTCGCTCCGTTTTATCGATCCGACGGCAGTCTCCTTTTATTGCTGCGCGAAAAGTAAAAGCCCGTATCTTAAACGGATCGCGCGATATTGTAACGGAATGGCGACGAAGTGGATTTAGAAAGAGTTCAGGATTCGAAGAGTTTAGAAACACTTTCGGGCATTCTACGTAAAGAAAATTCACCGTTACAACACAGCTTAAAATATTTTTATGAATATAGGCATAAATTTTCAAGTCAGCAGACAATTTGAAACAAATTTGTTCCCTTTTGACATCTCGTAGGAAACAGGATAGTTTGATAAAGCGGATGAAAATTAAATGAACTCATATAGAGCTTGATAATTTTTTATGAAAGACTTAACAACGCCATATCACTCCATCACGCGCTGTTTCTCCGTCCGGAATTCTTTCTTTTTTTCAGATCTGCGCATATCGCGGATCCGCGCGCCACGCGAGAGAAAAAAAAAAGCGAGAGCTTTGCACTCTTGATCAGGCATTATATTTCCACCGATTAATTATCTTGCAGCGATATGTCAAACCTCCCCCCGTTCATTGCTCTTCGTGCACCCTCGGCGTCAGTCGCTCGCGATCGGTCAAGTTTGCTCCAGTCCGCAAGCGCCGAAAGGGCGGTGGGGCTTGCGAGCTTTCAAGCGCAGAGCCTCCGCTCATTCGTCCATTTGCGTCGCTCGCGAGCACTTCGTGGGTTCGCGGCAGTGCGTGCACTTCTGATGAACGCGTGTGTATATCGTCGCGCGTGATGGTCGTGCAGCGATCGATTGACGCGCCTTTCCCGCGAGATTGACCAAGTGAATCGTCGCGATCGATCGAGGTCGCGAGATCGCCGACGAACTTTTCGGAGTCTGTCGATTGCCGTGACGTTCTCACGTAGCTTACTCTCACTAAGATCCGTGGAACTGAGTGCCGAAGCGTATTTGGGATTCGGGTTGGTTGAATTATTTCCACTACAGTGTCCCTTGTAGCGAGAGATGGGATAGTGAAAAAAACTCGAAAGTGCTTTCGTCACTTAAGATTTCGTGCAAACGTAGAAGAGAGGGAAAGCTCAGATTTATTATATTTTATTATTCTAACCGTTTGTAGACTTATTTGAAATTCAACAAGGTCGGAGCCGTTTGATCCTGCGGGGTTGATGCCTTGTTGTTAATTAATCATCCGGGATTAGAGGTCGTTGCTTCTAGGGCAATGCACGGCAAATACTGTGTGCAATATACGCGAAATTAACAAGGAATTGATCTTTAGCAAGACACCTTTGCCGCATTTAACCGTTGATTTATAATTCTTCTAAAAGATATATACATATCTCTAATAAAATATATATATCTTTAAACGAACAGTTTATCTAGCGTAACAATTTCAGTTTAATCGGTCCAATTCAACCGTATTTTGGAACATTTTTAGCCATTTTAATTGCCAGAACGTTAAATTTTAACATTTTATACACTAATTTATCAGCTTTTCATAAATTATTTTAAAATTTACTTTAATTAATATTAAATAGCAAGTAATTAAATATTAATGACGAAAATTACTATATTTAAATTACCGTAATAACCGTAATTGAAGTAAAATTGAAGTAAGATAATAAACTTTGTGTCAACCCTAGATGAACTACTGAAAACATAGAACACGTATAAAAGAATATCCATACATCGGTGAATTATAAAATGAAATATTTATACCGCCTGCCGTCAGAAACTCTGACTTTTTCAATAAAACATTCGAACAGTTTTGTTAAGTTAAATTAAGAGAAAATTGGCTTAATGAAACATTTTAATGAAAACGTTTTTTCTCCTGACAATGATGTTTTTTTAATTTCATCTAAAATTATCTCGAAATATTCAATTAAAATTGAAATATTCTTTGCTTTGCCATGCATTTGTATTCCTTTTAATTTTCTAATCGCGAAAATCTCTCTTTGAAGAAAACTGTGGAAAATTCTACTAATCCAGAAATAATATTTTTCACGCATTCATTGTTAATTAAAAATCAAAATGTAATCCATAAATATGTAGATTAACGAGATATTTTATTATAAAGCTCTCGCGTTATTTCACTAAATATTATAGGACAAAATAATAGCATAAAATAATACAAGTGAACTGTTATTTGTTGGTATAATTTAATAAAGCCATTTGTCAATTAAAGATATTTCTGCTAAATTACAAATATCAAGATTACTTTCGTACTTTGAACGCCATAGACGTGTAACGCGAAAAGAATTTTATCGCTGCGCGAAATGACGACCTTCAACGTATCTTCAGTGTTTCATGTTGCGTAAACTGAACGTAATGTATATCCACGATAAAATGCATGTTTATTAAACCAAATTCCATCATGAAAATGCGAAAGATCATATGGACACGCGTTGGGCACCGGCGAGGCGTTTTGCACGCACGATTTCACCTGTGTGCGACGCGTGCGGGCGAGACTCGTGAGCAGAGCCTATACGGCAATTGAATTTCGCAATGGCTCGATAATTCGCAATTAAACCGTCTACCCGACATTGTTACACAGTGAATGGGTTCGCGTGTAAGCGCGAAAGAGACCGCGGCCGATAACCAATAAAAAGAGCTTCTGTTTATAGGTAGTTGGAAGCTCAACGGTAATGGTTGATTATATTGCACGGTAATATTACACGGGTAATCTGAGTCCCTCAACGCGAACGTTATAACATGAGCGATGTCTTTGCGCACATAGAGTTGGAATATCGTGTTTTAGGAACTTTTTTGACGGAAGATATATTAAGTTCACGTTTTACTATCGGTATGATTTATTTGAAGCTAGAAAAAAAAATGCGGAAAAGCAACGAATATACTTGCAGCGAAGTAGATTGCTAGGCGGTATTGATTAATGTTTCGCTTGTAGAACCTGGGTTACATTCGAGAGGTTTAAACATAAGCAAGGAGGTAACGCCAATAACGTAATATCGGTTTTAAATATTAGTCTCAGGTTGAAATACAGGTTTTACATTCTAGAGGTATTTAAAAAAATACATATACATAAATTTTTCCGGGGCTGATGTGCGCGGTTCCTATGTGCTATTAATGACAGATATTGTAAGGATGAATTGCACGATGTAAAATATATTATGACAGAATTGTGGTGATGTGTGGAAATGAACGTGACAAGTTTCGTCAATAAGACAGCGTGCTAGTGACATCGTGTTAGTGTAAAGTGCGCAGAGCAGCTAATTTGCATCTCGCTTCGTTCCGAGGATTGTTAATTGACGAAAACCACGTAATCTTTTCAGACCTCAAGATAGTTTCGAGGCGGTGCCGCTAATAAAACTGCCAAGTGCATCGTTAATTCCTGCAACTCGCCTTGCGGACTTGGACCGATCGGTGAGTTTATTCATAGCTAATGTAAAGATTGATTATGCGCTCTTATGATTTATGTGTCACTGACAATTACATAAAATCGTTTGCAGTCAATGTACTGTAAAATATAGCCTAGATAATATGGCGGGACAAATTCTTTGGGGTCCTATATTGTGAAATACCAAATCCTCGTATAAAAAAGAAACTATTTTTTCGTATATCAGCAAGTACATATATGGTGAATATCGTAATTTATTTTAGGCGTAATTACATCACGAAAAATAATTGATCTTGTTTGTAAAAGTATTAATCTTGTTTGTAAAGGAAGCATTTTTATGCGAAAGAATATCTATGACATGTTTTTTTTCAAGCAAAAACATATGTGTACACAGAAAAATTTTTACGGACAATAACGGTAAAAGCATAAGTTATAAATACAATTATATTTTGATCATAGCGCGACGTACTTTTTCCACTAAATGATTAGCTTGGCATATTTTTGAGCGTGAAAAATATCAAAGAAAATACACATTTTTAATGTCTCTTCATAATAGTAAAAGTATAAACATTTTTTCGTTTATTATAACAAGTTTAATTCTGTGAGGACGGAATTCATTTAGTACATATGAGACTTTTTTTATTATGTCACGTAGATATCTAGTGTGTATTCACGTTTTGTTGTTGAAATAGCAAGTATATATTAAATAAGAAAAGATATAAAGCTAGGGGAATGATCTAGGAAAAAACCAGAGTGAATAGAAAAAGCGCCGTGCGAGTGTAGAATCAAGCTCAATGGTATTGGTCTCCAATCCCTCTTCCATTGATGTATGATGTGGCGAAACGGAATCTGAAAAAAGATCGACGGTCCGTACATCGATGTCAATTTGAAAAAAAAAAAAGAAAATGCGTCCGTTCGGTATCCAGTGAGACGTATACGAAAACTTCCTTCCTACGTTCCGAAGATCCGTTAACTCTGCAGCTAATTTAATTTATCAATTACACATTATTGTCTTGAAATCTTTTATACACTTTTTGCGTGGATATTGTGTTTCAATACGGTATCGGTCCTCATTCAGCGAGAACAATATATAGTTAATTAAGAGGAGCCTCTCAATGCAACAGAAATACAATAGGCTTTAGAATAGCAGTCACGTGCGTGTTGTTGTTCACCTGCGAAATATGTAATTAATCAAACTTAACCGGCGCGATGGTATCGCCGTTGAAAAATGCGGTAGAATAGGAGCCGTGAATACAAGGCGTGATTCAAGAAAAGGAAGAAGTTAACACGGGCTTGGTATGTGCCAAGGCTATTTCGAAAGAGTTACTGGCGACGCTAATATCAGTAATACTAACCCCACAACCGTCGCGATATTTCGACCCTAAAGCTGCTGCCGCGCGTACTGGAAGCTATCCAACGGATATACCTTACGGTATCCATTCTACCGTTTCCTGAAAATGGGGGCGATGTTAAAGAGGCCTAGATTTCGAAGATTTACAGTGCTGCGTTAAACGCGCAAGCGCACTGACAATGCGGGGAAATTTGTGAAAAACACTTGAAGGATATCGATTGGGAGAAATGATATATTTTTCGGGATTATTTTACATTTACATGAGACCTGTAAATGTAAATGGAATTAATACATTTATATGTGAAACAATTTGCTTTATATTTAAATTGCCTTTATGCATTATACAATACAAGAAATTCATGTGGAGATATTGGATTTATTTTTGCAAATGTGCCGCGTTTATCGAAATTGGGCGGGGCATGCAACGTGGTGGTTCTTGGGTATCGATAACATTTAAATGTCAGTTATCGCTCGGTGGTTTTACATGAATATACAGGGTGAGTTATAACATTTGTCCACGAGCTCGTGAGAAGGTAGAACGGATCGAGATGAACAGAAAAGTCCTGAACCATTTGCAATTTTTGCAATAGTTAACGAGAAATAAATTATCGAAAATCGTCGTCTTTGCCCTGCCCACTGTCCAATTCGAGCGCGTAGCGAGATGTGAAGGGGGGAGGGGGGGACAGCGCGCAGTTGCCGGCGAGTTGTTTACGTCGCCGCTCCCGCGTCTCGGGTCCCCATCCCTCGCCTGGCAATATCGAT